AGAGTGTCCTACAAGAGTGTCCCACAAGAGTGTCCTACAAGAGTGTCACACAAGAGTGTCCTACAAGAGTGTCCTACAAGAGTGTCTCACAAGAGTGCCCCACAAGAGTGTCCCACAAGAGTGACCACAAGAGTGTCCCACAAGAGTGTCCCAGAAGAGTGTCCCACAAGAGTGTCTCACAAGAGTGTCATGTGGACCTGTGTAGTTTTTCGAACGTGTTTACATTCGGGTTCGTGGGTTCCATCTTGTTTACTTTGCTTCTGGAGTTTTTGAGGCAGAATGTGTCTTTTCCTTGCCACCCTTCTCCACTTGGGCAGGGCAGAGTGATGTTCTTGCGTTTCCGACTCGACCCAGAAAGCGCGAAGGATCTGCATAGCACCGAAAGGCTTTCCCATTTTGCTTGAGGTATGAGTTGTCTTAGGTTGGAGGACATCGCTAGTAGGTAGGAGGCCATGTGCTTTGAGGTCTGAGTCCTCGCACATTCCGTCCTTGTCCAAGGTTCTTTGTGACCCAGTCTGGGTCCATGGAGGTGAGTGTACCTCGGAGCAAAGTTGTCGCAGAATCGCTCTTCTTCAGACCAGCCGCTCCCCGTTTGCATGAAGCGATTGAAGTAGGCAATGTGACCTAGCTAAGGTGAAGGGAATTGTTTGCAATGCAATTGGCGAAGGAGCTGGGTGGATGGGTGGATTAGGATGTTTCAAGGCTCCGTGGCGACGCGTTTCGCAGCTGCAGCTGAGTTACCACCTGAAGCTGAGTTTGTCAGTGAAAGTTGTGATTGCGCTCCTGGTGAATATGCCATCATCACAATGTCTCCAAGTTTAAGCCAAGTTTCCCTCCACAATCTCATGCTCCCGCGCTTCAGCGCTTCAAGGATGCTGCCCCCCCCCGGCAGCCGTGAAGAAGCATGAATTCGCCTGCGTCCGGGTAGCTGGTGGCCTACTTAATAGTTCCTAGTAGATCATCAGATACCTAATTAATTTCCCCACTCCGCGGCCTACGACCCCTCCCCAAGCCTCCCAACCGCCGACATGCCTCGTGCTACGCCTGCTATGCCACATCGTTCTTCAGGATGTGCCTTCGGTGGCCTGGCATTGCTTTACAATTGCCCTCGCACCGCCACAGTGAAAGCGACCAGTGACAGCCAGGTCTGGGGCGTGCCTCGGTTGACCGGAGTCTTTTTTGGGGGGGACGCTGCCGGGTGTTGTGTGTTTTGTTTCTTGCTTAATAAATCAAACAAAAATGCTTATAAGAAGCTTGTGTTTTCTAGTTTTCCTTGTTGTGTTCTTTTGATTTCTTTAGACACGTTAGGTCGTGGTTTTTCTGCCACGACCTGCCGACCTCCGCACGGTGTTTCAGATGTTTGTTGACTTGTTTAGACCCTCTGAGGCTAGTGGCACTGCCTTCAAGCAAATGTTGCAGCACAATGCTACCAAGCACCAGGCAGTTAGTCTGAAGACCTTTGCATTCGTTCCCCAAACCGGCCATCCGAGCAGCCGCCCAGCCATGGGCTGCCAGAGTTGATCATGGCTGCTGTAGTTTAAAGAAGAGACCGCCCATCATGGAAGATCTGCCAATCATTCATGACGTTCACGTCGTTCTTTAGATGACATCTGAATTCAGACCCCAGCCTCTTCCTTTGTCCCTTGAAAAAAAGGAAGAAAATTCAGACCTCAGCTCCCTTATTTGCATAATTCATATCCTTGAAACACTGTTTTGTCAGTAACACAGCAGTAGCGCAGCCTGCGGTTTTCGCCTGCGGCGCAGCCTGTGGAGGCCGAGACCTTGAAGTTTTTGGACTCCACCAGCATTTTTGAGGGCCTCACAAAGAAGCAAAAGATTGGCCTGGCAGAGGTCATGTCCTCAGAAAGCGTCCATCGCAATTAGGTTCCAGGCCATTGCAATTAGGTTGGAGGCCTCCGGAAAGAATACTCGTCAGTGTGCTCCTATTGAGGCATGTTCCAGTCCTTTTGGATGTAGCCACTGACTGACACGTTTCCATCCTCCATACATTCAAGCTTGGATGACGACGTGGACGACGCTGTTGTTCCCACAGGCCACCTTCTCAGAGGTCTTCGAAGACAAGGACCGTAGAGCCGGAGACTGACGCGACCTAGCACCCGGAATGCCATCACCCTGACAGCTAATTAAAGAGTCTTATCTATTGTGCCCATCATTTCCTGCTCGCCTGCAGGCGCGCGTGGTCACTGCTGGCGATTTGCAGACCGCGATCTACTTCGTCAAGAAAGGCAGGGAATGAGAGACTGGATGAGAGAGAATGAGGATGAGGCTCACTCACAGGTTTCGGTCTCAGAGTGGAAGATTCTTGAATGCTTGCCGATGAGATATGCAAATGTTTTCCCACTGGCAGACCAAGATGGCGAGAGAGAGCGAGATACAAGCAGCTCATAAATTTACAGCAAGAGCTCCTCTAAGTATTTGACAGGGTTTCAAGAACTTAGACTTAGAATGTTTTCCTCTGCTACTTGCCAGTAAGAAGCTGTTAAACAGATTTTGGTTTGGCCGGGTACTGCACCCTTGCAACTAGCGATCGGAAGGGGGTTTGCGCTGGGGCCCTGGAAATGCATCGCCACTCTGAACCACTAGATTTTTCGCAAAGGCAAGTACATGCACAAACACCAGACACACGAATCTCTTGCCATGTAGACCCCGGCAATCCCCGACTAAACTGCTGTACTCACATCCCTAGTAGCGTCCTTGCTCCTAGTAGCGATGCCAGGAGCTCCCAGTAGCGTCCTTGCTCCTTAGTAGCGATGCCAGGAGCCCCTAGTAGCGTCCTTGCTCCTATCAGTAAGGCCAGGAGCCTCTAGTAGCTTCTTGTTCCTATATAAAGACTTACGTAAAAGGAAGATCTTCAAAGTTGGGCGGAGCAAAGTGCAACAGGCGAGCTCAAGGAGTTTTCGGGCGGCAGCGTGCGGCTCTCGGATTCGGGACAAAGCTGACCACTTAAAACCCTTAAGAGCGATGGCATCCAACCTAAGAGCGATGGCCTCCAACCTACCAGCGATGGCCTCCAACCTGAGAGCAACCCTTAAAAATGCGTGTTTGATTAATGGCTTGTTTGGTGGGGTAGTCTCCGACCTTCCAGCCCCAAAACCTGTGCCTAAGAAATTGTTTCAACCATGAATTTCATCGCTGCTAGGTTGGAGGCCATCGCTTTTCATCGCTTGACCTTGGGCCTCTCTTAAGGTGAAAAGCACCGGCGAGTTTGTCGATGGTTCGGAAGTGCGACGTCTTGGCCAGAATGACCGGAGATGGGCGATGGGTGATGCTGATCGGCGATGCTGGTGAGCGCAAATCGGTCATCAGTCCAAGTCCCAATCCTAGAACATGTTTTGTTGACCTTCTTTCATCATGCCATGATCAATGATTGTTAACCGCAAAGTCCTTGTTTTTAGCAGTTTGGGTCTGTTTTGATGGGCTTCACGTCGAGTCTTGTTTGCATTCCTTTTCTAGGCTTCAGAGATGCCTTGTAAAGTTGGGTGTCCTTGGTCTGCCAACGGCTCAAGAATCATGTTGGCTCGACAGGTAAGATTTGCATGTTTGATTATGAGCCAAAATGTGCATCTATAATATGCATGTGCAAGGCTGTTGTTATCCTCTGTCCCTTCGAGTCCTGCTCATGCTGTATCGATCGCAGGAATGCGTCGGTGAAGCTCAACTGGTTTCAAAGGAGCCGCATCTTGGCAAACATGCTCAAGCTGGACAGATCTGCTAGCACGAGCTTGTTCACTTCTCATGTGCAGAAAAGGCTGTCCTGAAGCAGGTTTTAAAATTGAAAAGATCTTTGCGTTGCTAGATGCTTTTTCTTACTAGTAGTCGTAAAGCACTTGTTCCTAGTAGCGATGCACTTGTTACTAGTTAAATGCTGAACTAGCCAACTCCCAAGTTTGATGCTGCTGTGATTGGTGCACTTCGGAGATTGTAAATCCTCAGGTTCAACAACACCATCGTTTCCCAGGGCCGTTCTGAACTCCTGTGCGTCAGCGTGGCCGAGCTCAAGGCGTGGAGTGCCAAAAACGACTCAAAGGCCTCAAAAACGAGGTGAAAGTCTTGGATGTTTTGAGGAACAAGAAGCTACTAACAACAAAGGGCATCGCTACAAGGAGCAAGGACGCTACTAGGGGCTCCTGGCATCGCTACTAGGAGCAAGGAAGCTACTAGGAGCAAAGGGCATCGCTACAAGGAGCAAGGACGCTACTAGGGGCTCCTGGCATCCTGCCCATACTGCTAGGAACAAGAAGCTACTAGTAACAAAGGCCTCAAAAACGAGGTGAAAGTCTTGGATGTTTTAAGGTGATTTTTGGACCCTGGTCTTGGTGACTCTTAAGGAAGGCCTTTGCAGCCAGGGTTCTGGAAATTAAAGGCGAGCGGTTTCGTAACGATACTTCCTGACGAACGCCGATTCTGCGACGCTTCCGGCTGCTATCATTGGGTCCTGGGCGGGTCGGCCACTATGAAGCCATTAAATTGTTAGCAGCCCTGAACCATGAGACCGTGGTGTCACCTGCCAAAAGACAGAGAAAAGGAAAAACATATGGAACACTCTAAGGCATCTATATAAAGCATCCTTCGCTTGGAAGGTCATCCTCGGTGAAGACCTGGGCGCGGTGTTGGAGAGGAATGTGATCCAACAGGGCTTGAAAAACTGCCCGGGCCTCGACGTAGAGTGCAAAAGTCAAAACAGGCAATTTGAACATCAAAGGATGGAAAGGAAAGGTCTCAAGGTCTCAAAGGTGCAAAAAGAAAGACACAGAAGAAGTGGTGACAGGCCCACTGATCTCCCAGTTCACTGCTGGCCAACGCACCGAACTCCTGAAATATGTCCAGGTCAAGGACTGAACCCAGTTGGAACTGCAGTAGACATCCTGTGGGTTTATGTTGACATCAGTGTTGACATCCTTTTGTGTGTGACAGGACTTCGATGCTGGCGCTGAAGCAACTCGGTCAGCACTGTGGATCTCAACATGAGCACACGGAACCTTCTTCCAGTAGATTTGTTCTGCAGCTTGCGCATTTCTTGAGGTTGAGATTGGTGCTCGCTTTGTGGTCGTTCTTGAAGGGTCCTTATCAGGAAAAATCAAGGACGCACCCACGGCTTGAGATACGTGTCAGTTGCAGTAGCTTTCAGTTTTGCCAGGCTGAAACATTCTCAGGAAGAGGTTGAATTCTCTAATTATTGCTTTCATTCCTTCAAACATTCGCAGCATCGTCCTGTTTCTAATCATTTCAATTTCAGTAGCAGGGACTGCAGGGACTATATATAGTGAAACCTCATGTATTGCTTCCAATAACGCTTTGTGACGCCTTAGCCTTCAAATGTTTGTGCCTTTGCTTTGCACGACTCCGAACAAACGCATGTTATATTCAAAATGCAATTCCGAATTTGACTAAGCAACAAAACATCGAGAAAGCAACTGCCTATCGATTGTGTCGATCATATCCCTTCTGCTGTGCTGGGCATACGGTCCCCGATCTCGAGGACAAGGATGTGAAGTTAGGACGTCGAGATTATCTGGAGGATGAGGCCAAGCGTTACGCATCCTCCCGACGGGGCTGGTCCAACCTTGTGTGTGTGGGAGTGTGAGGATTGATGAAAAAGAGTTCCAGGAACCCCCAGGAAGGTGCAAAAGAAAAGATCCAAAGTGTGGATCATGTCTTGCACCTTCCTCCAAACTGATTATGCTTGCTGGAATGCGTTGATTGGGGAAAGATGCACACAACTGCAGGCAGGACATAGGCTCCGTAAACATGAACAATATCTAGAAGACGTTTGTCCCGAAGTGGCTCTCATTGACCAACGCGATGGCCTCCAACCTACTAGTTGGCCAGTTGGCACCGTAATATGTTTTGGCTCTGCAGCTTGGCCAGGCCTTGCTTCACCCAAGCACTTCCAGCGAGAAGAAAAGCCTCGTAGCTGGGGAGCAAGGTGCACGGTGCCTCGACGCCGAAAGCAGCAATCTCTGGAATGTGAGTTGTCCAAGGAACAAGAAGCTACGATCGGGGCTCCTGGCCATACTACTAGGAGCAAGAAGCTACTAGGAGCAAGAACGCTAGATTCAACTCGATTCACCAAACATGTTTTCAGTAGCTTCTTGCTCCTAGTAGTATGGCCAGGAGCCCCTAGTAGTAGCGATGCCAGGAGCCCCGATCGTAGCTTCTTGTTCCTGGTCCAAGGATGTTCAACTCGATTCACCAAAACCGTTTGGGTTCCACCTCCCTTCCACCCTGCCTCGAGCGTCCATTTGCGAAACAACATATAAAGCTTCATTTTGTCCCTTCATTTTGTGGGAGTGATTCACACAGACTTCACCTTATCCATGTATTTTCGGACCATGTCCTTGATGTCTAATGACATGATAACAGCTTAGAGACAGGAAATCATCTGTGAACTGCTCTATTGATGGCTATCTTCGCCACAAGAAAATTATTGCAAGACCACACCTAGAATAATCCTTCAAACTTCAATCATGAACCATTCAACAGCCAAAGGAAGCACACACGAACACATGATTTGAGAACCATACCTGGGTGTCCCATTATCTGCAACAGTCGGCAGAAGGTCTTGTCATAGAGAAAGGCCTGCAACCTAACCATCATCATCGTCATCATCCATTGGGCCTTGGATATGGGATATACCCAAACCAGACCCAAACCTCTACCGAATCTCTCGAACACTTCCAAGGGTGGCCATTGTCACATCGGACAACTTGGCTTCTGCCCTCAAGGGCCTTGGCGTGTCTATGGCCATTCTCTCAGGGTTGGAGGCAACAGTCAGCAAAAAACCTACTAGCGATGGCCTCCAACCTAGAAGCGATGGCCTCCAACCTACTAGCAATGGCCTCCAGTCAGCAGAAGTGGAATGGCCGAGAATGGAGAAGCTCATCTCAGCCCCGCAAATCATAGGCAACAGATTCTGTGAACATGACTCTTTGCGGCCATCATTTGCCCCAATATCCGTCTCTTTTACTAGTAGCAAGAATGCGCCTAGTGGCGATGCCAGGAGCGCCTAGTAGCTTCTTGTTACTAGTTGTTTGTATCTTCATGACCAGCTTTGCCCACAAGATTCAGCAAGGTTCCAATTTGTGCCTTCATAATTTTAGGTGTCTTCTGCCAAGGCGAGTGCAGAAGATGCCTCGGACTTCACCCGAAAAAATGCTGTTGGCGAAGAAGGTCAGGATACATTCTTGTGTCACCACCGATGCTAGGTTGGAGGCCATCGCTACTAGGCTGGAGGCCATTGCTAATAGGGTAGAGGCCATCACTACTAGGTTGGAGGCCATCGCTAGTAGGGTGGAGGCCATTTGGGTCCTTCACAGCATGGAGAGTCTCAAAAGACCTTCAAACTCCTCGTGCTTTGGTGATTTTGCTGATTTGCTGGCTGTGCCCACACACGATGACATGCCACCAGGTGCACATTTTCAGGCATCTTTCAGAAGAGCAGACGAAGCGGGTAGTGGAATCGTGTCTTGCTTCGCATCAAGCGTATCAAAATCAGCCCCAACTTGTTCAAACCGGTTCCAGGCTCATCAAGAAGCTAGGAGATAATCTTCTTTCGCACCATGTATCGGAGCAAGGGGAAGGGCATTTCAGTGGGGAGCACTTCCAGATCATTAGGGCTGCCTCGAGTGTCCCTGCAGTTAGCTTCATGTCTGGGGTCCGTTGGGTGTTTTTCTCGCATCCATCCCGTCAGTACAGTGTCCCATTGTTGCTCCTTTAGGCTCCTTTACATGTATACTAGGAGACCAGCACTTAGAATACTGAAGCTATAGGATTTATGAATTGAAACTTTTGCACTTTCAGAGAGCAGGGTTTTGACATGTGCAGATAGAATATGGCACGTGCAGATAGAATACTGATTGTACGGAGACGCCATTCGTGAACCTCTGCTCCAGCATGCCCTCAAAGCTGTGTGCAGTGACTACTGTATGTGATGCTGAGCACATACTGTACCACAGTATACTGCAATCCTTCACTCTTTAGGAGGATCAAGTTGACAGGATCACTTGTGGTCTCTTGCATATTCTAACTGTGGCGGCATATTCTTACTGCAATGCTCCCAAATAACTATAATTGTCATATTCTAACCGCATTATACTTATTTAAACCTATTCTAACTGCCTGTCCCTAGTGTTAAGAATCACCCATTGGGCTCGGCCCCACTGGCTTCCAGACCCCAGATTCGACACGAAGAAGTACTCCAAAGGTGATACAGACGCTTGGTCCAAATCGTTGGAAGACCCACTGCTTTCGTTTTGAGCTGTCTTGAGCTGTCAATGTTTGGCATCAGTTTCTTGATTGTCATTGAAGTCATTGAAGTCATTGATTCTGGTCAAAGGCCTCACTGTCCTAACTCAGTTGATGTCCACGTCGACAACGTGAGGTCATCAAACAAGGTGAGCCTGGCACTTCTTTCTTCGTGATCGCCTCGGGTGAGCTGGAGGTCTTCATTAAGGATCAAGCAGGTGAAGAGAAACGCGTGGCGAGCTTAGCGCAGCGTTGCGATGATCCTGGCATCAGTTGCTGGTCGGGTGAGCTGGTGCCCCTAACGGTCGGGCCGCCGAGAAACCCGTTGCTGGCAGGGCCATTGAGCACCCGTAGCGGTCCTTCTTTGGAACGCCTTCTTTGGCCCTGCCTCCTCATTGGGTTCCTAGATATTTTGGGAAGCTTATATAACTAGTAACAAGAAGCTACTAGGGGCTCCTGGCATCGCTACTTGGAGCAAGGACGCTACTGGGCGCTCCTGGCCGTACTTCTAGGAGCATTCTTGCTACCCCTCCTCTTTGCCTCATGAGTGACCGCTACTATCAGGTTCGATTCCCCCCGCTTCTCAGCTTCACGATGTCCAGCTACGTGGACACGTCACAAAAGCATGAAATGCATTGAAGACATATTTTGGACTCACGGGCAACCAAAGTTTCTCCAGTGGAAAAGATCACTTTGGATGGATCTTGAAACTTGTAGTTCGTGGGAAGCTTAACTCAAGGAAAGTGATGGAAAGTCGTTCGAGTTTTCGTTCGGATTGGGAAAGTGTCCGCTTTTGATGTTTTTTCATGCTGCCTTCCAAGTTAGATTCTCATTAATTTCAACATTGGTCGTCACATGTGCGTTCACGTGGGAATCGCATTTTGCGCAATCATTCTGAGAAGTTTGCTTCAAATTTCTTCTTAGCGGTCAGAGGCACCCGTGCTTATTGAATCAAATTAATATCATTCATATCTTAGTGTTGCATTGCTTGTACTTAGTGGTTGTTTCTGGCGTGCGGCCGATAAGCATTGCATTCCATTGGTGTTTTACACCGCTGAGATCTCCTAAAAGAAGGTCTGACTGGGCTATTGCAACAGACTGCACAGCAAAGATAAAAAGCATCGCTACATCGTTTTGGAGTGAGACACATGGAGTACAGTACGAAGATGTATATGAGTATGGACGGTTTCTTGTCGTTTTCCTTCTGGCTTTCTGTATGGGGTTCCGGCCGTGTCTTGTTTTTGGCCTTCCTTTGGCATGGAGGCCCCTTTTGGCGCTCTTCCGTGCCCGGAGGAACAGATGCCGGTTGTCAGTTTCACATTGTTGCACATTGGGGGCTTGCAGGGATGCGCTCGGGGGCTCTACGTTCCTTTTTTATATGTTCGCCATGGGCTAACTTGTTCTTCACATTAGCAAGTGCAGATGCGTGCGCACGGAGTTGCCTGCGGGACATCATGCTCGGCACAAAGTGGGAGATGTTTGGGCTTGAACAGCCCTTGCTACATACACGGCGGTCAGGAATGCATGCGCTTATATAGTGTTTGCATGTTTTTGCCGCTGCATCCATGTGTTGCGCGAGATGATCTACAGATCTCTCAGGTGCGAAGCATGGCGAAAAACTCCTACATCGGTGCCATGGCTACTTTAGAGAGTCCTGTTGCTTTCCCCGGAGAAACGTTTGGGATAACTTGTGGCCCAGAAGCTATACTGTACGAGTTGGGCTCATCTTTGTAAGATGAGATGCAAGGTTTCCTGTTCAACAACCTCCCTCAAAAGACCATATAGAACCTAGAGCTGTTACCTGAATGCCCCCAATAATCTACAACCCTGGTCAAGTAATTAGTTCCTACCTACTAGCGATGGCCTCCACCCTAGCAGCGATGGCCCCGAAACACTTCCCAGTTGCAAGGCGTTGTGCAGCTTCCCCTGCCACTGTGCTTGGGATATGGGCTCAGGTGAGCGGGCGTTACTGTTCCACGAGCCACGGACAGCAACGGTGAAGGCTGTGGTGTGTTCAAGGCTTTGTTGTTGAAAGACGCCCGTCAGACGGCGAACGCTTTTTCAGCCAGGTCGCTGATTGCCTGAACTGATTGCTGCCAGGTCATTTCGCAAGATGCAGAGCTTTGGGCGATTGAGAAGGCACGCTGCTTTCACTCGCGTCCTACTCATCGGGTTCTATACATCCGAGGGCTACTCACATTAGATCTAGAACAACATCGAATGGATTTGAGACAGATCTAGCTACGTGACAAAGTGTTTCAACGTGGGACTGTTGGCAACGCTCACTTGTCAGGCTACCTTCGAAAAGATTATTGCTGGAAATATGTGGCTTGTCCCAAAAAGTCTGCAGTTTCCGTCAAACAAATATATAAAGGGCGTGGCTTTGGTGAAGCAACAGCAACAATTGCAAACACCTTTTTGACAATTTGAGGCAGCAGCAGCTGATGAATCGCATCAGGCAAGGATCCCAGACGTTCCGGGGGTTGTCGTGGAAAGCCGTTTTGGGATTTACAAGGGTGCTTAGCACCCTTCCAACTGAATCCCTTTGGCAGAGACAATCTCCCGTGTTCTTCATTTCAGGCGGCTGGGACCCAAGTAGGTTGGAGGCAATTGCTGTTAGGTTGGAGGCCATTGCTAGCAGGTTGGAGGCCATCGCTAGTAGGTTTGAGGCCATTGCGTCTACGTTCTTCTAGGTTGGAGGCCATTGCTGTTAGGTTGGAGGCCATTGCTAGTAGGTTGGAGGCCATTGCTAGTAGGTTGGAGGCCATTGCTAGCAGGGTGGAGGCCATTGCTAGTAGGTTGGAGGGCATTGCTAGCAGGTTGGAGGCCATTGCTTCTAGGTTTGGAACCATCGCTAGTAGGTTGGAGGCCACCGCTAGCTGGTTGGAGGCCTATCAGGTTGGAGGGCATCGCTAGTATCGTAGCCTGTGAGCCGGTTGGCCCGGCTGATGATTCGCTTTCGGGTCAGTCGCATCACCCAAGTTCGACCTGAGCTCCAATCGGCAGGCTGCAGGACACAAACTTTGGCCTCAAGGATTTGATCCAAGTGAAAGTGATTGGTGCAGGTGAGGGTTTTGCAAAGTGTTTGCACCGCAGACATTGACCATGGTGTAGGGCAGTTCATCTTGTTTGCAAGTCCCAGTGTGTTTGTTTTGAGTTTTGTATGTATGCTGTCTTGTGAAGCATGCTCGCAATAGCGGACTTGACTATCCCCTACGACCAGTTTGTAGAAACAATGCCGTGTGTTGCTATTTTTTCCTCTGAACCTTGAGACTTGGACTTTTCCTTTTCAACTGCTTTCTATAGAAGTCCCTTTTCTTGTCTAATTAATGTTTTCCTCAGCGAATGGACTTGACTATCCCTTAGTTCTATCTTCTTACACACCCCTGTGAAAGGTCACCGTTGTGCCAGACAAACAGGTGGCAACAGGTGACAATGCAAAAGAACAACTGCTGAAACAGAAGGACCAAAACAAGCCAGGAGTGGCACATAATAGTGGCACCTTCCACATCTCCAGGTTGCACCCTGCGCCAGACAGAAATTACGCCCTTTGCAACAAGTTAGCATTACGCATCAACGGGATTGCAGGAATTTGGATGCCGTGGATTGAAGCGTAAAAGAGAAAAGAATCAGCTGAGAGACATTTTAGCTTAGCAGTTGCATGGCACATCGGACATGCTCATACAAATCATGGTGGATAGCAAGTTGCTGATCACTCCCACTAGACATGCCCCAATTCAAAGAATAGAGTGGATGGTTGGGATCACTCGTCTCTAACCTACTAGCGATGGCCTCCAACCTAGCAGCGATGGCCTCCACCCCACTAGCGATGGCCTCCAACCTAAATCGCGATGGCCTCCAACCTAGAAGCAATGGCCTCCAAACAAGTTCCCAGTCAGATTGAAATGCAATCGATTGCTCCAGTGCCTGGGACATTAGCTGGAGTTTGGGGTCGCCAAGCAAAGTCAGCAGGACTTGCAAAGCCAACTCGCAAGCTTTTTCTCGCAGGTCTCGAGATTTAGGGATCCCGTCGGGTGTCTAGATCCATGAATCAGCTGCTACATTCCGATTGAGTAGCAATCGATGCAGATTGACCACCCAGCGTCGCTTTAAAAGATCACAAAAGCACTGTGTACGATACGCGACACAGTGGTCTCATCATGCCTTGTTGTCCTGTAAGCTCAACATGCCTATGCGATACCGGCGATACCTCAACATTTGGATGAGCGCTTGGAACAGCCAGCCGCCCTCAATCCTTTAAGAAAAAACATGAAAAAACACGTTTGGCCTGGTCAACAATCAAGTGTCTTGTCCCATCTTAAACACTAGCCCATGCTGTTAGATCCCCTCGCTTGTTTCTCACAAAAGGAACGCCACAAATAGATGTTCCTTTTGGTTGGAGGCCATCGCTATTAGGTTAAAGACCATCGCTTCTAGGTTGGAGGCCATCGCTGTTAGGTTGGAGGCCATTGCTAACAAAGAAGAAAGAACATCCCATAGCTTGGCCAGGTGCTGCAGGCGTGGTGCGATTGGTGGAGCACAACTTCACTCGCACACGCTATGCGTTGCTGTGCTTCAACGCAAGGAAAAGGCGAAGATCGCAAAGAGATACAGACAGATTCAGTGCCTACTAATTCTTTCCGGGTTTCAACGAATCATTCCTGTATGCCATACCCTTCAGATGCCCAAGGCTAAAACGCGTAAAGAAAGTGGACGGCGAAGTACCCGAAGAAGTGCAGCGCGAGTGCTCATTGTTGACGCTCCGAGAAGAGATTCACTCCGGTGGTGCCAGTGAAAGGTGACCACCCTCTAGCGATGGCCTCCACCCTACTAGCGATCTATATATGAAAGGTGACCATAATGTGACAAGTGTATGTGTTCTTTAATATGTTCTGGAGCCAAGGAAAGACATTGATCATCCTTTTATCATGACGCAAGTTAACACCTTCGAGACAAAGAAGAGCGTCAGAACCTGAGAAATGCTCGAGCTGATTCAACTCATGGTCTACATTGGCCTACATGTGTATAACATTGTATAACTATGTGGTAAATAATGATCCCTATATTGCATGTACAAATGGATGACACATATCAAGATATATCAAGATATTCTGACACCCCTTTAAAATTCGAGGGCTCAGGAGTTTGGGCATTGCAAATGGTGTGCAGCACAGAGCACGAGCACCAGGTGTATATCCTTACTGAGCTCATCACTGGTGGAGAGCTGCATGGCCACTGGGATGCGGCATTCGAGCTGGAATGTCATGCAATGCAATGTCACGTACTGTATTGTATACTGTATAGCTGACGTGCATAAAGAAGTGTCAGGAATTTGATTTTAGATTTGTTGCACATGTGAGCACCAGTCATGCGCACATGTGCACTGCAAAGGTGCAATCCGAGAAATCCCAACGGTGCTTGGTCGAGCGCAGGTCTAGAAGCTTAGTAAAGCACCACTGCCACCACTGCCGAGACGAGTTCTTTTGGAAACTGTAACAAGGGCATCGGTACTAGTAGCTTCTTGTTACTAGTAGTACTGCCCTTGTTACTAGTAGCGATGCAGATGTGACGAGAAAGCTTGGTAGGTACTGCAGAAGCTTGAGAAAGAATATGGCCAATTAAGCCACATGTTCTGACCCAAAGGTTCATAGGACCCCTCGAAAGAGTGACTATCGGATGCTGGCAAAAGGAGAGCCTGTTCTAGTTCGATTGCCTCGTGAGATGATTATTAGATATGGCCAAGATCCCTCAGGCGCAGTTCTACACTGGCTCTTTGGTGATTGTCCTGGAGGTGCCCAAGTTGAGACGTTGAGCTCGGTCAGCTGGGACTGGTATCGCAACCATTCTAGCTCTTTTGCCTAAGTTGAATTATCAGAACTGAAGTCAACCAACATCAACCAACCTAATAGCAATTGCACCTAGATTTCAAGATCCCTACTGGCGATGGCCTCCAAACCTAAAGGCAGTTCCTTTGTTTTTTTCTTTTTTAAGGGAGTGCCTTTTACCCCAAGCCAACTGCGATCTCCTTACCCAGTCATGGGGATCCAGTGAGTGGAACGCTTGGTCTTCGCGAGGAGCTCTCGGAGCGCAACATTTTGTGCCCCAGACAGACCGAGAAATACTGAAAGCGCTTGGGTCACCACTCTGGTGCTGTTGGCCAAAAGCATGCGGCTGAGGTACAGGGATTTAAAGCCGGAGAATGCTCCTTGACGTGACAGCAATTCAGAATCTAAAAGTGCTGTTGCAAAACATGGGGAAGTCCGTTGTTCTTATGCATTTCTTCCAAGACGTCTTTTGCGTCACACAGTTCTCTGAGGTGATGTTAGATGCCCAGGGCTATTTGAAGCTCATAGATTTTGGCATCGCCAAGAAGTTGCCTGATGGAGAATCAAAGACCTTCACCATGAGCCTTGGTGAGTTGAAGATCGTCACATCGAGTCGGCTGTTTCGTTGGCTGAGTTGTTGACATCGTTCGATGTGCTACTAGCGATGGCCTCCAACCTTTAATAGCGATTGGGCTTCTCGCAGAAGTCGCGGAAACTGTAGGCAAGCATAATACGGACAGTGCATATGCGCTGGCACTCATTGAGAACATTTCACAGATGTCGAAGCGCCCATTTGGAGAACATATGAGAGCTCTCAGGCTGAGTGAGAGCCTTGCCAAAATCTGCCAAACGTGTTGGGGTCCTTTCCAGGATTGGCACTCCACATTACATGGCACCTGAAGTCATGCGTGGGCACGGCTATGGGACGGAGGCTTGTTGACTGAGACTCTTCGCATTTGCTGTGCTCTGGTGTGGTTGCAAAAGTGGTAATCTCTCTTGTGCCACGCAGTTCGACACAGAGTGCAAGGAGTTGACAGGTAGACGGTAGACTGTTGATATTCTGCACCATCCAGCAAGGAGTTGACATGGGTAGAGCCAGGCCTTCTTGTCTTTTTGTCGACCCACTGATCGATCAAACTGTCCATCCATGACTTCTTGTTTTGTTTCCCTCGTTCTTCCCAATCCATTTGTAATGTATTTTGAAGCATCGTGGTTGAAACTGTGCTAACCCTTTGTCCCAGTGCAAGAAGGCCGAAACCAGCCAGAAAGGAAGGAAACACAAACACGTAACTGCATCGAAGCAGAATAGATTGAATAGATTAAAATTTGCCCTCTAACTGCTCGTGGACGCCGAGATGAACAATGCGCATGCTTCAGGGTTGGCTGGTTTCCAAAGACAACTTCAGAAAAGGTGTTGCAGCCATTACTTGTTTGCAGGTCGACCTTTGGTCCATGGGAGTTATGCTTTTTGAATTTGTTTGCGGCGACTTGGCTACTATTGGGATTCACGAGATTGAGTTCTTGCCCTGGACCTGGGTGGGATTGTTTGTTGCTTGAACAGCCTCCGACCTACTAGCAATGGCCTCCAACTTAATTGCGATGGCCTCCAACCTAATTGCCATGGCCT